CCTCACGTGTGCAAGGCAAGTGCTCCACCACTGAGCCACAACCCCAGCCCCTCAAAGTCATTATCTTTATATCACCGTCTCTGCTGTGTCAGGGAGAATTGAGGGGATCCTGTCCCACATTTTAGGGGTGAGCAAAAAAATAACAGTGACCCCCAGATTTGGTGAACCAGAAAGAACAACAAGGCCCATCAATCTCAGGGAGCCAGAGATGGCATCTGAAATCCTGGGGACAACAGCAAGGCAGTAAGACCAGGAGGTCAGAAAGCATACTGAGGACTGACTCCAGAATCCCCATCAGGTAATGCCAAGGACACTTTTGGAAATAGCTGAGAGGAAACAAATTTTAAGGAGACCTACATMCAAGAGTTGCAGAGATTTGGCTTGAAGTCATGATAATTTAAATCTACAAAGAAAGCATTAGTTCACTCTGGTCCAGTAGGGGACATGTGGAGGATCCTCATCGGTCCTTTTTTAGTAGAAAATAACATGACTTGAATAAAATTGGTTTTTTTATGTGCTCCTAAAAGGCCTGCAATGAAAGGAAGCAAAGACCCAAAGCACCAGAAACAGAGAGGACTTTAAAAATCCAGGCCCCAATAGAGGTTTTTGTTTTTAATTATATGATTCCATTTATATGTGCCACCTGGGGGTGCGGGGGGGGGGGGGACTTTATTGGGAAGATGGGGGATGGAGCAGGGGAAAGATTGTATTTGGATGAAAATGAGCATGAAAAGAGTTAAATCCTCATGTTGTATAGCAGGAAGTCAAAAGCTGATACCTAAAGCTAATGATAAAGAGCTAATAGTAGAAATGTTTATTTAGAACTGTGAAGGCAAGTGTCAAAAAGAATAGCTAAAAAAAATATGAATGCAGGTAACTCTGGGGCATTATAATTACACGTGATAGAGAACAGATAACATCTATTTTTTTTTTTGGTTTATGTAGCTAGAAACCTTGTAAAATACTTTGCTTTTAAATTGGGTCCACAAGAAGATAATTTTGCAATTAAAAAAAAAAAAAAAAGCACTCAGTTGGAGAGAACCAGAGATCCTCTAATTGATGAGGCAGTTTCAACCTACAGAAAGTACTTGAGTGCCATCTAGTGGCMAGAGTAAATGGCTGCTCAGAAGGATGAAAAAGGAAAGAAGTCAAAAAGACATTCAGGATCCCTAAGCATTTATTGTGATATTGTGAGCCAGGCAATGATTTAGGTGTAGGGAATATAAGAGTCCATAAAACAAGTGAAATCCTGTCTTCCAAAAGTTAACATTCTATTTGCAGGTGAGRATGACACAAAGTCTATAATGTCAGGTGGTGTCAATGGAAAATAAAGCAGGGTGAAGAGTATTAGAGGGAAGGAGTGATGCTTTATAGTACAGGTAGCAAGAGTCTGGATAGCTGGGGGAAGTCATTCCAARAGAATGAACAGCCAGTKCAAAGGCCCRGGGGTGAGAATGKTTTTRGTGTGTTCAAAGACTAGGAAGGAGGCCAAGAGGACCCCCAGCAGAATGAGAGAGGGAAAGGGATTCGGATATCATCCAGAGAGACCACAGGGCTGGATTAGAGCATCTTGTGAGCCACTGGGAGGACTTTGGCTCTTACTCATAGTGAGATGGAGAGAACTGAATTAATTCATATTTTAGATGGATAATTCTGGCTGCTGGGCTAAGTAGACAGCAAAAGGGCATCATCAGCACCATGGAGAAGAATTTGGAAGCTAGAGAAGCAATCCTGGTAAAAGAGATGCTGGCTGGACCAGCAGTCTCAATAGGCAGGGGCAAGAAGACTCGGGATCTCTCTAAATGATGTCAGCAMAAGTTGCTAGATTGGATGTGAGGTTTGAGAGACAGGAGTCAAGGAGGACCCAATGTTTGGGACCCCAGCAGTCATTTACTGAAACAAAGAGCATGTGATCCAGGCAGGCTGCAGGGGAAAAAGGAAGTGATCTGATTGAGAGCTCAGCTCCAGGATGTTTGAAGAATGCCTGCTGAACTGGAGGCTCTTGGAAAACTTATGATGTCCCACTTAATTTAAAAAAAAAAAAAAAACAGACTGAGGCTCAAAGACATGAATGAGCCACTCAGGGAGCCAGTGGCCAAGCGAGCCATGGACTGAAGCTCCTGAAGCCTGGGCTCCTCCAGCTCAGGGCAAGTCAAGGCATCTTCTGAAACTCCTGCTGTTATTTATTGCACAATAGCAAATGAGTTGGGCAATGTCATTCTCCAGCCTAGAGTCCCCAAACTCTGCCACTTTGACAAAAGAGGAAGAACATCTGTCTCTGATTCCCCCAGTGCCTGGCTTCGCGACGATAAGGCAGGGACTGTTCCGCTTTCGGGTGGAGATGTTTGCTAGCTGAGAGCTGGGCAGCCTGCACAGCCCCCTCGATCTGGAATCTATCTATTCCCAGATAATATAGAGATAGATAGAAAGATAGATAGATAGATAGATAGATAGATAGATAGATAGATAGATAGATGTCAGGATGAGCAAGTGGGCTTAGGAAGCCCCCAAACCATGAGAGGCTGGAAAGATGCTTCCTGGACAACTCTAACGTTTTCCACTAAGAAGCTGCCCTGGCAGGCACAGGGGGACCCCACCTACCCTGAGTGCCAGGGCACAGACCCCCAGCCCCTGCCTGGAGAGTCTGCACCCTGGCCTTGTAGGCAGGCTCAGGTGGTGGGTGACAGGGTGCAATGTGCACCTACACACAGCATGTGTCTGTCCTGGATGTAGATAGGCCTGTCCAGGCCCCTCCCCTCCCCTGACCACACCCCTCAGAGGTTTCCTCTGGGTGACTTGTCCTTCCTGCTGTGGCCAGCTCTGGGTTGTTCTCAACCAGGAGATGTCCCAACCAGGAGCATTCTGGAGAGAACTGCAAATGGGTCTGAACTGAATCTTGGGCTCTGAGCCCACCACTTGSGTGGCCTCTCTCCCCCCTCCACCTCACCCCCTCTCAGTGCTGTGTCCCAAGGGTTGATTCCAGGAGTCCAGATCCCAGGAGAAGGAAGAATCTGAGGAACCCAGAATAGTAAGTGTCAGTCACACCCTCATCTCCCCATCCCTCCATCCTCCCACCCCTCCCTCCTCCCTTTCCTCCTCCCCATCACCTTTCCTGACCAGCCCTGGGCCCTGCCCCCGCACCTCCATGGACTCTGACTTCTCCCAGTATCTTCCAGTCCCCTTGGGTCTCCTCCCTCCTGTGGTTCTCCTACCACTCCCCTCTCTCCTCCYGATATCATCTATATTGGCAGATGCCCTCAGTTTACAAAACTGAGTCCCAAATGCTGAATCGGAGTTTGCCAGGCTAAGAGACATGATCCCCAGGAGAGTCGTGCATTGAGAGACGTGCATTGGCCAAGGCAAAGGAAGATCACTCTTCTCTACCTGCCTGATGCCCTTCACCACCCACTCACTTGCCCACTGCTCCCCCCATGAATATCCCCAAGGCTCTCCTTCCTGGGGCAGAGATGGCCAGAGGGACCCAGGACCAGCTGGCTCATTACCTGGAGCTACTGCCGAAAGAGGAGCTGAAGGAATTCCAGCTTCGGCTATCCAACAAAACACTCTTTGGGTGTCCTTCTGGTGTGACACCAGCTCAACCAGAGAAGGCAAGTGGCACGGAGGTGGCCTCACAACTGGTGGCTCAGTATGGGGAGCAGCGAGCCTGGGACCTGGCCTTCCATACCTGGGAACAGATGGGCCTGAGTCTGCTGTGTGCCCAGGCCCAGGCACAGACGACCTTGACTTCAAGTGAGTAGAAAAAGACCCTACCCCAGTCCCACTGGCACTACCACCCTCCCACCAAGCCACCTCTGGGTGGGTGACTTGGGACTGTCCAAAGGAGCATGAAGACTAGGCTAGAGCTAGAAGGCTTGCTGGGGGGGCTCTTGCTAGACTCCTTGCCCTATACCCTCTTCTRTTCCAGTGCATTTCTATCCCCCATGGGATCCTCACAGTGCCTGGAGGGCTGATGGGGGGTAGACTGGCATTCAGAAGGGTACAGAGAGGAGTGGGCATGGGTTTCAAGCCCGGCTCCCCAAGAAGCCCTTACAGAGCATTGTAGTTATGAACATGACTGGGAGATAGGCAGAGGCAGGCTCCTGTCACAGCACTGCCACCCTGGACAAGTCGCTTTACTACTCTGCTTCTGTTTCTCCATGAGAGAGTAAGAGCCTGTGTGGGAGTTAAAAGAGATAATCCATGTGAAACGGTTAGCAGAGTCTAATATACAGTAAATGCTCCATAAATGCAAGCTCTTGCTATTGTTGCTGCTGCTGCTATTATCATTATTGGCAACCTGGGGAGGCAGGTGCTGGCAGCCTCACATGGGAGAGCTAATGCTCAGAGGGGAATGTTAACTTACCCAAAGAAGCAACATCAGAACCAGGAAAGGTAGGCAAATTCTCTGAGCCCCAGATCAGGACTTTTTGCCCAGTGGTGTCTGTGAGGATATCATTCTCTGGATAAGCCTGTCGGGGGGAGGTTGTGAGGGCCTCAGTGGGCTCATGGGTTTCTCCCGACCTCACTTGGTTAAGAAATGGGAGCTGATTAATATGAAGAACCCCAGGCTCAGTCTGGCTTCTGTTCCTGCCCCTTGGACAAGCCCTCAACCTCTCTGTCTCCTTCCCATAGGCAACTCTTCCTTAATCATCGGCTCCCCAAAAACACCCGCCATGGAGTCCCCCAGCTGGCCCACCTCCACAGAAGTGCTGAAGTTCTGGAATTTTCCTTGCACCGGGTCCACCCGGGAATCAAAGAGAATTTTTCCTGTAACACCTAGCCACATCCAGAAAGGTGAGTTAAGAGCCCTGCCTGGGACTGGGGTGGGGCAGTGAGTCAGCCAGTGGGTCCCCACAGTTACACATGGACCTTCATGGGGACCTGGGGGGGCATACTATAGAGGAAAGATGAAAGAGCCAGGATAGGGGTGGTGAGAGCCATACGGCTGGAAGTAATGGTCCTTCAAGGACCTCTCAGTGCTGAGACTGCTCCCCTTTCCGTTTGACAGATGGGGAAACTGGGACCCATGTGCATCAGTCCTGTGTGGCATGGTCCTTGACCATGCAGAGCTCATCCCATAATCTTGGTGGGCACTGAAGATCCACAGGGTCAGGGTAGCCCAGAAGTTCAAAAGAGGCTTCTGTTCTCCAGATGAAAACACACACACACACACACATGCATGCATGTACACACACACATATCTACTTGCACAAAATCTGAGCATGAGGCTGGGCTCATTCCTCATCCCCAGCCAGTTCCCTTTCCTAACTTCTCTTATTTTATTCTCTACCGTTTTGGTCACCAGGGTTCAAACCTCAGCTACACCCTTGCCTCTTCCTCTCCTATCCCAACAATCAAAATGGCCACCTCTTGACAGTGCAGAAGAGCTAAAGAGAACAGCCCGCCTGTTCAAACTCACAAGCACTTAGGGGCAGAGCCAGGGCTAGAATCCAGAGCAATCCATGCCTGGGGAAGTTATTTCATTCTCCACCCTGTCACTGCTTTGTGGAAGTCCTGGGTTTGCCCCAATTTCCTTCCCCTTCCTCTGTGCCCACTCTCGATCCTCTGCTCCCAAGTCCTGGCATAGGTGGCTACAGGATCCAACTCCATTGCCCTCAGTTTTCATTCTGACTTCACCCACTTGTGGTATGATGTGGAACAAGTCTTTCCACCCTCATCTGAGACTTCATACTACTTAATTTTAGCTCCTTGTACCACCTCCAACTCCACAGGGTAGAATTAAACTACACACACACACACACACACACACACACATGCACGCACACACATATCTACTTGCACAAAATCTGAGCAAACACTCTACTTTGATATAAGAGGGGCTAGACTGCTCACCTGTCTCCCCTAACAAAGATCCCCCACTATTTATGCCTCCCAAGAGCACTCTCCTCTTTCCCATGCCCAAATCAGTACCAGACTGCTCTGCTGCTCTCTATCACTTTGAACAATTCAACTCTACCTCCAACTTGCATGGCCTGAGTTCTCAGTGTCTGGCAAAACTGTGCACTGCAGTAAAGAGGATCCACCCTGCCCAGGAAGCTGCAGAGTAACTATGGTTACTTGAAATAGGGAGTTTGGCCTCTCAAGTGGTTCATCAAAATCTTGCAACCTTAAACACACTATATTCCCACCAAAATGTTTCAGAACAGCCGTAAGAAAATAAAACTCTCCATCTACCTTGATGTGGCTTAAACAATAAGATCTTAACAACTAGTCCGCAAGATCATTGTGAGAGTCAAAGTGCATTTTCAGTAGCTAATCATTTCTCTTTTGTCATCCCCCATCCCCCCATCCAGGAAATYCTCCCTTGTTCCTCCACAGAGCTCCTTCAAGCTCTACAGACCAGGAGTCTCCAAGCCAAGAGTCACCCAATGCCCCCACATCCACAGTGCTGGGGGGCTGGGAACCTCCATCTCAAACCAATGCAGAACCAAGGCATCAGGGAGCTCCTGAGACTGAGAGGCTTCTGGCTGAAACATCTGGAAACTATTATGGAGGTGAGGCCTTGCCGAGCTTCTGGGGCATGGCGGGGATACAAAGGCATGCACAAAATCAGGTCCCTGGGGGCCAGGTTAACAGGCTGAGCAGAGGACCTGGAGAACCTCTGAATCCACTCCCTAGGACCCCTGACACTGCAGTCACCACTAGACCTAGGCCCTGCTTCTAGGAAGCCGCTAAAAATGAGGATGTGGGTTCATTCTCCAGCACAAGAAACATACTCCACTGGCCTGGGGTCAGGTAAGCTGGATCTGATGTCCACAGAGCTTCTCACCAATCCCCTGCTGGAAGTGGTCTAGAGAAAGTCACGTGCCTGCAAGTGCTCGCTAGACACCCCACTCCATGTCAGACCCTGTGCCAGTGCTTCAATTGCATATTCTATTTAAATTTCACAACCACCGTTATGGTCCCATCTTGCAAATGAGAAAACTGAGGCTGAAAAAAGTAAAGTCTCACAATGAGGGGCACAGCTGGAATTCAGCCTTCCTTCTCCCCAACACCACAGTCCACACCTTTAACCCCTATGTCCTACTCCCTCTGCTGTATAGGCAATGAGGACAGTCATTTCAAAGCCACAGCCACACTGGCTTCTGGTGTTATGGTCTTAACCCATGCTAGGGGATGCTCTTTTTGTATCTGAGAGGTGTTGAGTGAAAAAGAATCCTTCTACACACAACTGGGAGTTAATTTACAGAATTCATGGGCCGAAAATGTGGCCTAGGCTCAATGTGTGTCAACTGATTTAGTCACACCACTTCCCATTCAAAAAAAGAAAAGAAGGAAGAAAGAAGGGAGACAGGAAATGAGGAAAGGCAGAAAAATAGGAAGGAGTCAAGGCATCGTACAGAAACATACAATGCAATAATGATTAAAAAATTTTAAAAAGCAAGTATAAAAACCATGAAGGCAAATTAGTTGCTATAATTAAAGGTTCCATCAGTTCTGAGCATCCTGGCAAGCAGGGCAAAAAGAGCAATATAATGGGTTACATAATAGCTATTATCAATAAGAAAAGACTCACTCAAGGGAACTGGAGTCAAATTCCCTCCACAGCTAACCCATTTCCTCAAGTTTTTCCTGATTCTAAATTCTAAAGAAATTCTYCAAGGGTGGAAGTTGAACAGTTTCATAACAAGTACAAAAATCACACAGCAGGCTTTCTCATTGATCAAGAACAAAGGCAGAAAAATCTGCCTGTGTAAAGGAAATGATAAACAATATTTTAAACTCTGTGGGTCTTTGCCGCAGCTACTCAAACCGGCCATCACAGCCTTAAGGCAACCATAGACGATACACCAGCAAACTGTCATGATTGTGTTCCAATGACACTATATTTATGGACACTAAATTTTGAATACCATATAATTGTCACAACATGAAATGATATTCATCTTTTGATTTTTTTTCAACCATTTGAAAACGTAACAGTCATTCTCAGCTTGCAATTTGTACAAAAACAGGTGGCTGGCTGGGACTGGCAAAAACAGGCCAAATCCAGCCAGCTTTCCTGGTTTTTGTGGATTTGGATGGAGCTGACCAACACCTACCTGGTCAGGGGYGTAACATTAAAATGAAACTCATTCAAGGTAGAGGATTTTTTTTAAGTATTACTTAATTCAAGAAAGAAAATATTTTTTTAAGTGTGACTTGATTCAAGAGGACAGTCCATGGTCACAGATCYATGAAAACTAGGAGGTTTTGGAAAAAGTGACATCAGAAGAGTTAAGTCCTCTCTTGGCATCTCAAGAGGCAGAGCCTGAGCAGAGTGGGCAGTGGCCCCAGGTAACAATTGGCAGTGACCTATTGTTCCTAGAAGGTATTCACGTTGCTAGAAATGTTCTCACAAGAGACAATAAAGGCAGACCCATAGATTATGATTTCAGAGGTGAGTTGGACCCTGAAGCTGCARTCTCACAAAGAATAACAATATGAATTGACTCCACACTCCCTACTCTCCCCAGATTTTCTTCTTCCCGCCTGAAAGGTAGGACAGGTAGTAACCCTGACCTCCAGATATAGCCCACCAGGTGTCCTGGGGTAAATTGGTCTTCACCATCCCAGATGAACCATCTGGATCATCTTTAAAATTCATCTAGGGGGGAAAGCAAGAGACRTTCAAAATGTTAGGAAGAGAAATGTGGGGCGAGATTATAACAATTGCTCCATTCAGAATCTGACTTAATTTGGAGCCTGAAGACCATCTGTGGGGAACGATCTCTTGCATGATGAGCTCAGCTTCTCACTGTTCACTARGCATCTTTCCATCTTTCACAGGTTGGTTCCCTTAGAAGCAGGTCCTGAGATGAGTTGTGTGTGCAGGTAGTTTATTGGGGAGGTGATTCCCCAGAGGCACTGGGAGTGAAGAAGGAAGTGAGTCTGGGGAGGAAGAATCCCWGCAAAGGTGCACCATGGAGCAGGCTACCCCTGTGAGCATCTGTCTTAGTTCATTTTCTGTTGCTACAACAAAGTAACTGAGACCACGTACTTTATAAAGAGAAGGGGTTTACTTATCTCCTGCCAGTTCTGGATGCCAAGAGTCCTAAATCAGATGGCCACATCTGCTTAGTTTCTGTTGAGGATCTTGTGCTGCTCCGTGTGTGCGAGAGGGATAGGGGGCAGAAGAGCAAGCAGGAGGCTGCAGAAGAAAGGAAAGGGAGTCCAATTCCCTCCACAGCTAACTCATTTCCTCAAGAAATGAATGAATCTCTTCATGAAAGCTCCTCCCCCATGACCTAAATGCCTCCCATTARGCCCCACCTCCAACACCACTACATCAGCAACCAAATTTCAATGAGTTTGGGGGGAAATAAATGACATCCAAACCAAAGCAGCARCTGAGGTTCAATGCTGTTGAGGATGTCTGRGAGACAAYGTAGAACATTCCTCAGAGTTGCCTGTCCTGAGTACAGAGGACCCCATCTGTTGTCAGCTAATGCTTTCTCTAGAGCATTAGCTTCGCAGTCTTTCTGGTACATCCCACTGTGGGCCATGAGAGAGCCCTCAGACAATCACAGGTGCTTATTGAAGGATATGATTGGCAGGTCCTGCAAAGGTGGGTGTTGAAAAGATGCCATTCAGGAGACAACAGCATCTGCTCCRTTATCTATGATTTCCACTCCTCCTACAAGGAGATATCAAAATGCCCAACTTACAGATGAGAAAACTGAGGCTCAGTGCAGCTCRTGGCCCAAGTCCTAGGCTTAATGAGGGCAGACAGTTGTGTCTGTYGGTTCACTCTTTATTCCCAGCCCCTAGAGTAGTGCCTGGCATTTGGAAAGCCCTGGATAAATATTTGAATGAAAAAAAAATATATCAGAGAGTATGATTTGGTAAAGATTTGAACTAAAATCTTCTACTCCAAAGCCCTTGTTCCTTCTACATCACCTGCCAGAACCCACCATTATCTTGCAGTTAATGTGCTATGTGGCTCAGAGTAGGTACCTAAGTCMATTCAGTTGTTAAATGAATAAATGATCAACTCTGTTCTGTACCATTAGTTCYCATCTTTTCCTCCCTTATTTAGGAATCAGAGAAAGATATCAAAACCAGAGAAGAGAAAAGCTCCGCCACRCACAATCCTGGAAAAATGACAATATGCACCAAAAATTCACACAGCTGCTACTTCTACAAAAGCCTCATCCCAGAGGCCAGGATCCCCTGGCCAGGAAAAGCCGGCATCGTGATGTAGTGGAGGAGCAAGGACATTTGATTGAGATCCGTGAATTATTTAGCCCAGGCCCAGGTTTCCAGAAAGAACCTCATATTGTCATACTGCATGGGGCTCCTGGAATTGGAAAGTCAACACTGGCCAGGCAGGTGAAGGGAGCCTGGGAAGAAGGCCAGCTGTACAGAGACCACTTCCAGCACGTCTTCTACTTCAGCTGCAGAGAGCTGGCCCAGTGCAAGTTGGTGAGTCTGGCTGAGCTCATCTCAGAAGATGGGAAAGCCCCTACAGCGCCCATCAGGCAGATCCTGTCTCAGCCAGGGCAATTGCTCTTCATCCTGGATGGTATCGACGAGCCAAAATGGGTCTTGAAGAATCATAGTCCTAAGCTCTGTGTGCACTGGAGCCAGTCACAGCCCGTGCATGCACTCCTGGGYGGTTTGCTGGGGAAAGCCATACTCCCTGAGGCCTCCTTGCTGGTCACATCTCGGACCACAGATCTGCAGAAACTCATTCCTTCTTTGAAGCAACCACGTTGGGTAGAAGTCCTGGGCTTCTCAGAGTCTGGCAGGAAAGAATATTTCTACAAATATTTCACAGATGAAAGCCAAGCAGACAGAGCCTTTACTATGCTGAAATCAAAYCCTGAGCTCTTGACGTTGTGTCTCATGCCCTTGGTGTCCTGGATGGTCTGCACTTACCTGAAGGAGAACATGGAGTTGGGGAAAGTACTCCCACCCACCATTCAGACCYTCACAAGCCTGTGTATGCACTACCTTTTCCAGGCCTTTCCAGCTCCACACCTAGGGACACAGCTCAAGGACTTCTGTTCTTTGGCTGCTGAAGGCCTCTGGCAAAGAAAGACTGTGTTCAGTGCAGGTGACCTCAGGAAGCACGAGTTAAATGAAGCCATCATCACCATTTTCTTGAAGAGGGGTGTTCTCCGCAAGGGCCCTGACTCCCTGACCTATAGCTTCATTCATCTCTGTTTCCAGGAGTTCTTTGCAGCAATGTCCTATGCCTTGAGGGATAATGAGGAAAGAAGCCAAAGTCCTGATGGCCTTGGAGGTATGGAAGAGCTGCTAGATGTGTATGGAAGGAACAACCTCTTTGGGGCACCAACCGTGCGCTTCCTGTTCGGCCTCTTAAGTGATCACTGGTCAAGAGCAACSGAGGAACCCTTCACCTTCCAGTTGTATCCGGAAAGGAAATGGGAGCTGCTGCAATGGGTGGAGGCCAAATCCCCACCAGGACAGCCACACTCTCTGGAGTTTCTCCATTGTTTGTATGAGACTCAGGATGAGGAATTCCTAATGCAAGCCATGGACTGTTTCCAAAGAACAAGGATGTATGTCCAGACAGACATGGAGCTTCTGGTGTTCATTTTCTGCATTAAATTCTGCCGTCATGTGRAGAGGCTTCAGCTGAATGAGGGCCCACAGAAGGGACAAGGATGGAGACCCCCTGGTGTTGTTCTGTGAGTATCCTGACCTCTCCTCTCATCAGCTCCCACCCACTTCCTGAGCACTGGAGACACTCACGCTCAGCCCCAGGGGCCAAAGGATGATGTCACCATGATTTCTAACTGCCCCATCCAACCACCATTCTCTACCTWCTTAAGATCCTCTGCATGACTGGGCACAGTGGTGCAGGCCTGTAATCCCAGTGGCTCAGGAGGTTGAGGCAGGAGGATAGCAGGTTCAAAGCCAGCCTCAGCACCTTAGTGAGGCTCTGTCTCAAAATAAATATAAATAAAAAGGGCTAGCGATGTGGCTCAGTGGTAAAGCACCCTGAGTTTAATCCCTCAGTACCAAAAAAAAAACTCTACCCTCTCCAAGGATCAAGCCATCCATCTGCCTCTGCTCCCCTCTCTCTTGATATGCTATCTCTCCAAGAAATGATAAATTTCTMTTTCAACTGCTTCAAGCACACCTCCCTCTCCCTTCCCATGACAATGACATTGACCCTGAGATCTTCCCCCATCACTTCARGATACATGTCTATGAAGTGGAGTCCCCAATTTTTCCCTGCAAAACTGATTTCCTTATTTGCATCAATGGTGCCACTATTGCCCTGGACACTCAACCTGAAACACACTCTCTAAGCATAAAACAGTGGCTGTCTGAGTGGCCATCCAACCCCAGCAACCCTGGGAACTTCCCCTGCCTGTGTTGCAGTATTGATTATTCAGTATCAGTATGAGTCTATCTTCCCCCCTTAGATGGTTCATTCCAAAAATATTAGTTTAACACTGATTTTGTGCCATGCCCTACAAATTACAAATCAAAAAAAAACAATCCCTGCCCTAAGGAACTGGGAGAGAAAACAGTCATCCATCAAATAATTACAATAGAATTTGAYGGCCTKCGATAATAGAGGTATGGAAAAGGTATTAYGGGGAGCCYAAAGAAGGGAATGAGCACACAAGTGAACCAGAAAAGGAGAAAGGCCCAGAGGRAAAAAAAAATGTTTTATTTATTTGAGTCTTCTCTTTTCAGATTTTTAAAGCTTTTTCTCATAATAAAACCCATGTTCACTGTAGAAAGATTAAGATATGTAGATAAGCAAAAAAATGTATATTAATATCAATTGTAATTCCGTCACTCAGAGATGATCATTATTAAGAATTGAGTTATTGCCGGCCATGGTGGCTCTCACCTGTAATCCCCAAGGCKCAGAAGACTGAGGCAAGAGGATTGCAGGTCCAAAGCCAGCCTCTGCAACTTAGCAAGGCTGTAAACAACCCATTGAGACTCTCTCTCAAAATAAAGAAATGAATAGGGCTGGGTGTGGCTCAGTGGTTAAGGGCCCCTGAGTACAATCCCTGACACCAGAAAATAATAATAATAATAATAATAATAATAATAATAATAATAATAATTCAGTTATGTCTTCTACTCATTTGAACCATGCTATGCATTTTATATCAGTCAGCTTTATTTTCCTAAAAGGTCAAGACTATCTTGTGTTATTAAGTCCGATACAACAGCATTTTGAATGACCATGGGGGTCATCCCTCAGGAGAGCTCTATGACTGATTTGACCATTMCCCTATTCGTGGGATTGTTTCTAGTTATTCTTGGTTGTAAACATGATGTTGGCCTTAAAGGATATGGACACAGGTGTTGCAAGTGGCAGTGCYCTGATGTGCATCCTGGAGAGGCACAGAGGCAGAGACCAGATGGGGGACAAGAGGAACCAGAGACACCAAGGCCAGAGAAAGAGAGTTTGGAATGGATGGTAGCAGCATCCCATGGGAAAGYGGGAGGTATACAAGTGGAGAGGGAGATTTGAGAGGCTCCAAGTCAGCCAGGCCAGGCAGGGAGAACAGCCAGRAGACTAGAGTCCACCAACAAAAAWATTCCAGGAARAGGGGCTRGGMATATAGCTTGGTCAGTAGAGTRCTTGCCTTGCATGTAMAAGGCYCTGGGTTCAATCCCCAGCACCACCAAATAYATCAAGRCAGGATGAGAGGCCTCAGGTATCTATTTGTCTTATAATCAAGCATCAAGCATTTTGAAGAATCAGTTTTGAATTTTGCCCTTCAGGTAGTATAAAATGCTACGTATGAATCAACAAAATCCATCCTTTGGAACTTTAATTATTTGATTTATTTTATATTTATTTAGTTTTGTAGAGCTTGAATAATACGTGTTTAAATTTTTGTTTCAGTCAACACTGGCCACCTGGAGAATCTTTTTTTTTTTTTTTGATGCATGCGTAGCATTTATATTTTTGAAGTCATTAATGTTTAAAACTGCGCTAGGATTTGGGAGAGATTCTGCAGTATCTTATAATCGTCACAAACCCTGTGCACCATCAAGTGCTATTGCTGTCCTGATTTTGCAGCTAAGGAGACTGAATGAGGCCCAGGGAGGTGGACTTGCAAGCAGGCAGCTGGTTCCAGAGCCTCTGCTCCACACCTCTGCRCTGCTCTGGAGGCTTTAGGGGAAAGATGAGTTAAGACTGGACTGTAGTGGGTGGAAGAGTTACTGGAGTGTGGTGATAGAGACCTCTGGCAAGAAAACAGAAATGTCACTCTGAAACATGGAATCGAGCTTGAGCAGTTGAAGCCCTGTGCTTCAGTAAGCTTTTGCATCTCTGTGACCCAAATACCCAACAAGTACAAATTAGAGGAGGAAAAGTTTATTTACAGCTCATGATTTCAGAGGTCTCAGTCCATAGATGGCCAACTCCATTGCTCTGGGCTTAAGGTGAAGCAAAAATTTAAAGACGTGTTATTCAAGCTCTACAAAAACCAAGCAAGCTCTGGGCTTAAGGTGAAGTGGAGGAAAGCTTCTGAACTCAAGACAAGGTCAGGAAGCAAAGAGAGGGAGGGGAAAGAGGCCACAGGGAAGGTGGACCTTTCCAGGGCACAACCCCAGTGACCTACCTCCTGCAGTCATGCCCCACCTGCCTATGGTTACCACCCAGTTCATTCAAACTAGAATGGACTGATAAGACTACAGCTCTCACAATTCAATCATTTTACCTCTGAAGATTCCTGCATTAACAGGAGTTTTGGAGGGACACCTCATATCCAACCAAAACACCCCAGAAGCAAGTGAGATCATTAAAGTATTGGGTGAAAATGGAGAAAGTACATGGGTGGAAGTCCTATAAGGCAGAGTCTACTCTAACACTCATGTGAAACTCATCATCCTCTCCCATCTGGGTTGCAAATATTCTCTCCTAGGACATTCCYTTTGCCATCTCTTTCCTGTGGAACTTCACTAAGGTCTTGCTGTCCTTAGAAAGTACAGGGGCCCACRAAAACCAACATGAAGAGTAGTATATCTAATCATATCCAACATCCCATCACAAAATCATCCTCAAACCGTCTCTCCTGGACTCTGTTCCCATCTCCTTTCTAGCCACTGGGACTCCAAAATTCTGTGCCAAAGACAGGTATGTCTTCATTGATGGGAGGAAGGCTGTCCAAATTTCCAAGCTCCTCCTCTATGCCAGGGGCTATGCTGAGTACTACAGATAAAAAGAGATACCAACTATCTGCCCCTGCATTCAGGGAACTCCCAGGCTCAGACAGAAACAGATGGAGAGGATGAGCACATCGGTATACTATTGGTAAGGGTTGTAGAATGAGGTACCACACAGAGGAGGCCACCTAACCAGGTTGGCAGGAGCAGGTGGAAACGTGGGTCAGTCCTGRCAATGTCACTCCCCATTGAGGCCTGGTGCTCAGGAGGACAGAACCCCTCCCTGTTGTGCAGTGCTGTGCACACAGACTCTGCACATCTGGGTCACATCTCTCCTGTTCCTCTCTGTCTCCCTCAGGTCCAGATGGGTCCCCATCACCGACAAYAGCTGGCAGGTTCTCTTCTCTACTCTCAGGGTCAGTGGAGGCCTGAAGGAGCTGGACCTTAGTGGAAATTCGCTAAGTCACTCTGCAGTGCAGAATCTTCGTAGGACCCTGAGACCAYCTCTGTGCTACCTGGAGACCTTGAGGTAAGTCTGGCCTGGGGTGTCCAATGAAGCAGTGAGGGGTGCGAGATGGGAGGCAAAGGCTGAGTCTTAGGATGAAAGACTAGTCTTTGTATTTATCACATACCCATTGATCCCCTCTGACCGTGCACTGTGACGAATGCCTGTGCTACTATGGTAAACGCATGCACACAAAATCTTTTCCCGCAGTTTGTGAGAGACTGGTGTTAAGGACCACAGCTAACAAACAAGTGACAACAGGCCCAGATAAAGGCTCTAGTGGAGAAAACTTCCTTGAGGAAGTAACTGGAAGAAAATCTAAAAAACACAGAGGATTTGACTAAGTGAAACCGGAGGGAAAATATCCCAGGCAGAGGGAATAGTATCCCTCTCCCACCTCTCCATGGAACCTCCATTCTACTTTTTTTGTGTATTTTTTTTTCTTTTTAACCAACAAGTGAGATCATGCAGTGTTCTTCTATTCTGGCTTATGTCACTCTTGGGGTTCATTTTGACATCATTATATAAGCATGGAATGTAATTTGCTCCAAATCAGTCCCCAGTGCTTCTCATTTACCTTTCTCTTTGACTTCTCTCCTTCCTCCCCCTCCTCCCTTTCCTCTATACTATTGATCTTTATTCTATCTATTTATAATCTGTTTGGGGGAGTATCAGAGATTGAACTCAGGGGCGCTCAACCGCTGAGCCCACATCCCCAGCCCTATTTTGTATTCTATTTAGAGACAGGGTCTCACTGATTTGCTTAGGGCCTTGCTAAGTTGTTGAGGCTAGCTTTGAACTTGTGATCCTCCTGCTTCAGCCTCCCAAGCCCCTGAGATTATAGGCATGCACCACCATGCCCAGCTATTTATGGTCTATTTTAAATAAGTGCATTATAGATATACATAAAGGTGAAGTTCACTAGGGTATATTCATATATGTATTTAGGAATGTTTGGTCAGATTCATTCCACCACTCCTCCCTTTTCCTGTCCCTCTTCCCTCCCCATCAATCCCTGTCCTCTACCTCACAAATTTCTCTTCCTATTTTCATGGCATTCTCCCCTCCTTTATTCTCCCTTACTTTGATCTAACTGCCACGAATGAGAGAAAACATTCGACCCTTAACTTTCTGGGTCTGGCTTGTTTCGCTTAGCATGATGTTCTCCAGTTCCATCCATTCACCAGCAAATGACATAATTTCGTTCTTCTTTATGGCTGAGTAAAACTCCATTATGTATATGTACCATATTTTCTTTATCCATTCATCTCTTGATGGGCACCTAGGCTGGTTCCATAGCTTGACTATTATGAATTGCACTGTCGTAAACACTGATGTGGCTACATCCCTATAATATGCTGACTTTAGATCTTTTGGATATATACCAAGGGATGGGATAGCTGAGTCATATTGTGGTTTCATTTGCAGTTTTTTTTTTTTTGAGAAATCTATACTGCTTTCCAGAGTATTTATACTAATACTCAGTCCAACCAACAATACATAAGTGTACCTTCCCCCCACACATACATCTTAGCCAACATTTATTATTATCTGTATTCTTGATAATTGCCATTCTGATTGGAGTGAGATGAAATATCAATGCACTTTTTATTTGCATTTCCCTGATTTCTAGAGATGTTGTACATTTTTTTCATATATTTGTTGGCCATTTGTCTTTCTTCTTTAAAAAGTTATCTATTTAGTTCTTTAGCCCATTTATTAATTGGATGATTTGGTGGGGGTTTTTATGGTGGTTGTTGGGGTTGGTGTTGTTGTTTGGTATAAAGGTTTTTGAGTTCTTCATATATTCTGGATATTAATCCCCTAGCTGAGGAGCAGGTAGCAAAGATCTTCTCCCATTCTTGGAGGTTCTCTCTGCACCCTCTTGTTTCCTCTGCTATGCAGAAGCTGGTTAATTTGATGCCATCCCACTTGATTCTTGGTTTTCTTTCTTGCACTTTAGAAGTTATGTTATGGAAGTCAATGCCTGTGCCAATACATTGGAGTGTTAAGCCTACATTTTTTTTCTACCAGTTGCAGTTTCTTGTCTAATTCCTCAGCCTTTGAGTTCACTTTGAGTTGGCTTTTGTGAAGCATGAGAGATAGGGATCAAGTTTCATTCTTCTACATATGGATATCCAGTTTTCCCAGCATCATTTGTTAAAAGGCTATCTTTTCTCCAACATATGTTTTCCACACCTTTGTCGAGTGTCAGATGACTATATGTATATGGATTTCTCTCTGTGTGTTTTCTACTCTATTCTGTTGGTCTTCATGTCTTTTTTGGCACCAATACCATGCTGTTTTGGTTACTATAGCTCTCTGGTATAATTTGAGGTTCAATATTGTGATGCCTCCAGCATCACTATCCTTGCTCAGAATTGCTTTAGCTATTCTGGGTCTAATTGCTTTAGCTATTCTTCCAGATGAATTTTTTTTCTAGTTTTGTAAAGAATGTCATTGGTATTTTAATAGGATTTGCATTGAATCTGATAATGCTTTTGTTGACAAAAGTATTAGTCTTTTAGTATGACAATTTTGATAATATTAATTCTGCCCATCCAAGAAGAACATGGGAGTTCTTTTCATATTCTAAGATACTCTTCAGCTTCTTTCTTCATATTCTGTAGTTTTCATTATAGAGGTCTTTGACCTTCTTGGTTAGATTTATTCCCAGGTATTTTCTAAGATTATTGGGAATGGGATATAATTTTCCTAATTTTTTTTCAGCTGATTCATTATCAAAGTTCAGGAAAGCAATATATTTATGTATGTTGATCTTGTATCTGCTGCTTTGCTAAATTTGTTTATCAACTCCACAAGTCTTCTGGCGGAATTTTTTGAGGGTTTTTGTTTGCTTTTTGGAACGAGGGATTAAACCCAGAGGTGTTTAACCATTGAGTCACAACCCCAGCCCTTTTTATATTTTCATTAAATAAAAAGGGTCTCACTGAGTTGCTTAAGGACTCACTAAGTTGCTGAGGCTAGCTTTGAACTCATGATCCTCCTGCCTCAGCTTCCTGAGCCACTGAAATTACAGGTGAGTGCCACTGCACACAGCCTTTTTTGGTTCTTCTAAATATAGGATTTATGTCATTTATGTCACTTTTGGATTTTTCTTGAAATACATTGAATGGGCTAGAATCAAGAATTCTGGAATTTTTCTTTAATGCACTTTCATGTAAAGTGCATTACATAAGAGCATATTGCATAAACATAGGAGGAGTTGTAAGAGAAGAGGATGGAGAACTCAGAGATCTAGAAAGAGCAAAGCCAGAAGGAGAGCAGAAGGACATAGGATCAAAGACACCTGAAGGAGGAGCCTTGGGCTTCTCTGGAACAAAGGGACAGAGACAGACTGTGTGGAAACATGGCAGCTGAGGAAGAGAGGTTGAGGGACACTGAGGGTTTCAGGTCCCACAGCAGCATCCTTTAAACACTGCCAGGCACTGTCCTAAACACACAGCACACACTATCTTCTCAGATCTTTACACCCACCTTGCACAGTAGAGTTAGCAAATCCATGTTATAGGTAAGTAAGTGAAACTCAAAGAGAATAAAATCTGCCCTTAGTCTTCTACTGGTGACTGACAAGGTGAGACCTAAACCAATGTCTCTCTGGCTCCAGAGCCCTTATACAGTCCACTCTTTCACCCCTAACCAGATAACCTCAGCCTCTTCAATGAAGCCTGAGGCCTGATGTCCTTGGTGGTCTGGGGAGAGGTTGAGATTTGAAGAAGGAGAATCCCTGCAGATGAAGAGGGCCACAAAAGTGGCTCCTTGAGATCCCACCCACAACTTATGTGCACACAGCCCACCAAATGCCAGGTTTCCGCTCCCAGCAGTCACCAGACCCATGCACCTTGTCCTAGAGTGGGCGCAAAACTCAAGCCAGAGAGCATGTATGTGCCCATGGTTCTACTACCCAATCCACGGCAGATGGGAGAACCCCACCACCACCACCAGTGTATTGCCAGGATGCATGCAGTATCCAGATCATTAGTGGGTGAGTCTTGTTCTCACCAAATTACCAAATGAGCCATGGTTCTAAGTGCACCACCCTTATCCTCCCCATTCCTGATCCAGTCCCACACTGGAGACAGTGGACAACAGTGGTCACTGGGTTGAGGAAAAGGCTAGCTGATACCCTGTGACACCAGGAGGCAAGGAAGTAGGAAGCCAAGAACTCTTCTAGCTCAGGGAAGGAGAGAACTGACTTGAGATAAGAGCATATATAAGCCAAGATTCTGTTATTCCATCAAGCTTTGCTTCCAAAACATAAATTCAAAGATAAGCATATTTAAAAATCCAAGATGGCAGCCACCAAGAATTAAACCCCAATCATGGGCCCTCCTAAGCACTTGGCACTATGTGGCAAGTACACTTAGTTGTGGACCTGAGAAGCTGACCCTGTCTCCTCTCTCATCTGCTTTCTCAGTAAGTGGCAGTAGCTTCAACTCCATATCCAACCCTGGTCCCAAAATCTAAAGAGTCACTGAGTGTCATCTAGTCTCCCAGAAACATCTCCCCATAGCCATGACTCTGACCCAGGTGTTCATTCTCCCACCATACCACCTGCTTCTTGCATTGCCCCACCTATCACCCTCCACTGGCTGTCAGGGACCTTTCCAAAGTGATACAAAAATCACAACTGTCCTCAAGAACTTTCACAGGGTCATCAGTGCCCACTGAATAAAGTCCAAACATCTTATAATGACAGTCGAGACTTACCACTATCTTGGTATCCTCAAACTTAATCTGTATGCCAACGAGATTAAACAACAAATGTACTGTGATTTCACATCCACCCTGCCATCCAGGAGTACCCCCAAAACCACCCTCACCTTTGGGAGCCACCCATTCCAGGCACACCTTCATCCTCCTTCTTTTCTCAATCATTCATTCCTCTGCCTTCAGTGATCTTGACTTACCCCTTTTTTGATGCTATTCTGTGCATTCATCTACAGACTTAAGAAATGCACTAACCCAGGGGTGGGAGTGTGGCTAATAATAAAAAGGGACAAAACACATGGATTTTATATTATGAAGAGGAAGGAACACAAAAAAGTCAAATAGCAAGTAAAATGCATTGTGAGTGATAAGGGCTGTAGAAAAAGCAAAGCAGAATAAAGTTGTGGGGAGTCTGGGGGTGCTTGTATAATCTTGAATAGGCAGAGTGGTGAGCAAGACTTCATCAAGGTGACTTACCATTGAGCAAAGACCTGAAGCTTGTAAAGGAATTAATCATGAGGTACTGGTTTGTTCCAGATTGCTCCAGGCAGAAGAAGGAGCAGATGCAAAGGCTCTGGTGTGTTTAAGAAACAGGGAGAAGTTTAGTAATAATGGAGCTAAAAGAGATGGGGACAGAGATGACAAAGATCCAGATCATCAGGATGGATCCTGGTGACCAGGATAAGAACCTTGAATTTTACTCTGAGTAAAAGCACTGTAGAGTTTTGATCAAAAACTGACCTATTGCTATTTGTTTCTAAGTCCATCCCCACCATAGCATGTGCATTTCTGGGGACCTGAGATAAGAGGTCTTATCAACCTCCACCTGGACCACAAGTGTGGCCCCAGTAGGTGCTCCATGGTTGTTTGTGGGTATACATTGAACCACAAGATGATAAACTTGAGGTCATGGATGTGTGTGTCTCCTACAGGTTGGCCAGCTGTGGCCTCACCGCTGAAAGCTGCAAAGACCTTGCCATAGGGCTGAGCACCAGCGAGACCCTGACTGAGCTGGAGCTGAGCTTCAACTTGCTAACAGATGCTGGAGCCCAGCACCTTTTCCAGAGTTTGAGTCAGAGGTTTTGCAAGCTACAGCGATTACGGTAAGTGTCCCTCTTTGAGAGATATTGCCTGGTGAGGGTGGACATGGACAGTGGAGAAAGAAGCTGACCATGTGGCAGATTAAGAAAAATGGCAGAGAAAGGGGGGACCTGCTTCGTGGGATGCGGAGGAGCTTGCAGAAACTCAATGTTCTGTGGAGGCTCAGGAGGATGCTCACCCACACCTGGGCTGAGGTGGGGTGGGGGGTGACCTCAGGGCTCCACATGCAACAAGAGAAGCCAAGTCCCAGTGTACAAGCCCTTCTCAAACACCTATCTTGGCCACCTTTGCTATTGTCCCATTGGTAAAACAAGATCCCCTGATATCCAAGCCCAGATTCTAGGGGAGGAAAAAATAGACTCTAGTTCTTGATGGAAGGACACTACCATGGGGCACAGGTGCAAGGTGGGCACCAGGAGAGAACTTATGTGGCCAGTTCACAATCTACTACAGAGGATGATGGTGATAGCACAAGAGTGGATTGCTCATGTCTCCCTAGTCTCTCTGGAGCCCCCCCCCCATGCACAAGATCACACACACACATGCACTCAGGTCTCACAGTTGCCATCAGGTCTCCTTTTGGCTTCTGCCTGAGCCCCAAGAGATGTTTGTTCACATCTCTGGTCCTACTTGCATTTGACCTTCCCAAGGTCAAATCTTCTGCTTCACGGTGCCGTTGCCTGTTCTGCTACTCAATAATCCTGAGCAAAAAGGTAGATGGGATGGGAGGATGGAAAGGGGAGCCACTGGGGTCTCCTTCTAACACCAGGGATCACCCATCCCTAGAAGGCTAGGGTAATATTTTATCCTTTCTACATCTACAAAAGACAAAATGGGTCAAAGGTTAAATTATTTTTATAAGGCTGCATAAGTGGGAAGCAGTAGCACTGGGTTTTGAATCCGGTCTGACATCAAAGCCTGGTGGTCCACTTTCCAAGCGCCCCCTCTTCACCAAGACCCTTTAAGGACTAAGTGACATGCTACCAGGTTGGTTTGCAAATAAGTCTTGAGTGTTCTGCTGTGAGCAGAGCAGATCAAGTTGTGGAAGCTGAGGGCTGCAGAAGTTGAACTAAGACACCAAGAGCAGAGGAGCTCCAGACAGCAATCACCTAAAGAAAGCCTATTTTTACATATTGCACATGCACAGCCTCTTCCTGTAGTAAAGGTCCCAAATGCTCTTCTGAACCTTGACTCATTAAAAGCAGATCTTAGAGATGGTCCCACATCAATACATACATTTGCTTCATTCTTTTTAATGGAAGCACAGAATTTCACTACACGGATTCACCATTAGTTTTTTAATCACTTCCTTAGGCATCTGGGTTATCGCTAATCTTTATCACCATAAACAGAGCTTCGATTAATATCCTCCTCTATGTATCCTGAGACACAGTGTATTATCTGTAGACTAAACTCTGAGAATTTCTGGGTAAAGACTATATGTACTGCTAATTTTGCCTTCTACAAAGAATGTACTAATTAAGGGGAACATTGTTGAAGCTGGGCACAGTGGCACACACCTGTAATCCCAGCGACTCAGGAGGCTGAAGCAGGAGGATCACAAGTTCAAAGCCAGCCTCAACAACTTAGCAAGGCCTTAATCAACATAGTGAGACCTTGTCTCTAAATAAAAAATGAAAAAGGTCTGGGAATGTGGCTCAGCAATTAAGCACCCCTGGGTTCAATCCCTGGTATCAAATAGCTGGGGATGGGTATTGTTTACCAAAATTAAATAGGACACATAAGCCTCAGTCACAAGCACCCAGCACCAGCCCCTTCTCAGTGAATGTCTATAGCTACCCCACTTCTACAAGGGGGAAAGGGGGCTTTATTTGGAAAAACAGAGTAAAACCATCCTTCCACTCCATCCTTGCTTCTCCCAGATGAGCCATCCCATCCTCTCCCTATGGAGAAGATGGCCATGAACAGTAAGAATCAGATTTTCCCAGACATCATGGAATATGAGCCCTTCTTCAAGCCCAGAAGCAGCAGACCAATGGATCTCTATGTCCGTTCCATTTGACCTGCAGCTAGACTATAAGAGATACAGAGTTATCCACACAGATAAGACAAGGCATTAGAGCTTAGCACTGCTCAGAGCAGCATGCAGCATGTCAGACATGGCTCTGGCTTGGGCCAGCATATGTACCCAATATTTACCCATTTGTACTGGAGAATACAGGAAAGGCCCTCAATTCCAATAGAACCTATCATATCCCCCTCAACTTCTGTTCATATATTAGAAACTCAGTAGTTTTTCTCCTAGACTGTAGATCCCCTTAATATTGAAACCCACCAGAGCATCCTGTGTCCACTGACTTTGAGTATTTGGCCAAGCCAATGTGGTTAACAACTAAACCCAGACACACCAATGGGAGGTTGAGTAAATTTTTCATACAAGGTGGATACAGTGCATGGGCAGATTTCATGTGACTCCCACAGGAGCATAAAAGGGAGGTGGCCTGCATCCTGAATGGCTCCTGGGTCGCAAATTAAATTTAATAATTGAATGATTAATTCTCCTGAAAGGAAAATTAAAACCTCCCAGATTAGCACAAGTCAGGAAGGTCTTTATGTTCCTTTAACATCACTTGGGAACACCACAGGGCCACAATAATTAGAAAAAGAGACCAGACCCCAGTTACCCAAAGGAATGAGTCCTCAGGAMAATGACCAGTGGTCCGTGTGCATCTCTCCGGCAGACTGGTCAGCTGTGGCCTCACTTCCAGCTGCTGCCAGGACCTGGCCTCTGCACTCAGCGTCAGCCCCAGACTGTTGGAGCTAGACCTGCAACAGAATGACCTGGGCAACCATGGAGTGAGGCTGCTCTACAAGGGGCTCAAGCATCCAGCCTGCCAACTCACACTCCTGTGGTAAGAGCCCTGTGGGTCCTTTCTGGTCAGGGACAGGGGTAGAGGTGGGGTGCTGAGAGATGGGACAAGGGAAGGAAAATGGATAAATGCATAGCCCAGGTGGCCTGGGCTCCTTGTCATCTGTGCCACTCATACTGTGTGAGTTGGACAAGTCATGATCTCGCCTAAAACTTGGTTTCTTCATCTATGTAATGGAAATATCATGCCCACCTTTTGGGTTATAATGAACTGCATATAAAAATAAAGATGGTACCAGGAAGAGAACTGAGCATGATCACATGATAATTATTGGGGAGACTGCATGTTCTAAGGGTCTCTCCCATGTTCACCTCATTCCAGGGTAGTACTTCATCCATTATTTACTCATACACCAATGCCTGGCAGGCTTCCCATGTGTCAGGCACTGCCCAGGCCCTAGGGATACAATAATGAGCAAACAGAAATGGGCCCTGCCCTCCCAAAGCGTACACTCCAATGGGAAAGAGAGTGTCATTGAGTGTCTGGTTCTATCTGGCTCTTAGGAGGGGTCCAGAAAGCCTGTACCTTCAGGCTTTCTTCAGCCAGGCCTTCTGCCTTGACTCCAAAACCTAAAGGAGTAGTTGGGCAAGATAATGGGAATGAAGAACTTACATTCAGGTTCTCCTGTGGTTAAAACTGGCCATTTACAACCAGGGGAACTCTACCCTGGGTGCTAGTGCCTTGGTTCCCCACAGAGCTCTTTCAGAAGTCTCTCCAGAGCTGATGCTGTGGGTAGATCTGGATTCAGATCTTGCTCCCTGAAATTCTGAGATGGCTTCTGCATCCTCCTTCTTTGAGCCCAAGGCTTGGTAAACAGGGACAAGCTTCGCTTCAAGAGCTCCATCTTCTTCCCCCAAAGAACAGCTCAACAGCAGTAACCGTGACAATGCACAGTCTTTTGCAGATGTAGGCTCTTTTCACCCTGCCTCACGATGAGCAAAGCAGGAGTGACCAATCCCAGGTTGTAGATTGAGGACACAGGGGCCCAGAGAAGAGAATAACTACCTCAAATACAACAGAAACCCCAGGACTCTGTTCTTCCAGCMTCTGGGAAGGAAACCTGAGACTAGGCCCTAGGTGGTCACTCTGAATAGCCATTCTGTGGTGGACACTGTGAAATGTAGCCCAGAGTCCCTTCAGGAATGAAGATGTATCCCTCCACCACTGGAGATGCGGATGGCAGCTGGCCACAGGAATGTCCTGTGCCAATGAGCGCCACCTCACCCAAGGACATCCCCTTCCTGGGATAGCCTGCATCCAATGACTGACCCATGTTGGGGTRTAAACTCCCAGTCCCTCATCCCAGTTCCAAAGTATCATTTCATCCTGGCTTCAGAAACCCCCCATGAGCTAGCCAAGGCTGCCATTTAGACTATATCACAGCAGTTTCCACCCCTGCCCAGTTCTGCTGCCCTCCCTCCCCTTGTCCTGGTGTTGGCCCAAGAACACTCCCTAATAAACCTCCTCACTCTACCTCCAACTCAGAGCCTGATTCCCAGGGAACCTGTGGCAGATTCCTTTAGCAGGTGTTGGAACCCAGGAGCTGGGTCCTTGAGGAACTTAGGATCACATGGAGAATCCCAGGAGAACCAGACCCCGCCCCTGTGCTTGCAGGCTGGACTATACCCCTTTGAGTGACCAGGTGAGGGAAGAGCTGAAGGCCCTGGAAGAAGAGATACCCAGGCTGCTCATCTCCAGCAGATGGTAAGGGGTGGACCAGGTCTCCTTCTGACCCACCCAGGCCCAGGGCTGAGCCCTTGCCCCTGGTCCAGAACTAAGAGGTGGACAAAGGGTCTTGGGGTGGTGGGAAAGACAAACAGATAAGGAATGGCCACCGGGACTGGAGATTTGGATCAGTGAAAACAATGACCATAAGGGGGAGACAAAGACAAAGACACCGAGAAACCTTTGGAGGAAAGACCACCATCACATCTCCCCTATCACCACCACCATCACCACCCCCACCCCCTCCCCACCACCACCCCACCACCCACCCACACTGTACCCATCCCCTGGACTTGAGTGAGCACCTCAGAGCAAGAGAATCCGTCCTCCACCCCCAGGGAATGCTCTGTAGCCCCCATGTTCTCTTAGTTTGGCACATTTCAGCACCTGACTGTGAAATCCTTCTGTCCTCAAGTTCCTGGAGGCTGTGTGCCTCACTATAAATGGAAAGAAAAGGACTCCTAGGCTTAAGCCACAGAGTCATCCATTCATCAAAAGAACAGGAGGCACTATTTGGGGATCTGAGGACGCAGAAGTAAACAAGACACAGTCCAACCTCCAGGAGCTCAGTCTGTCACTGGAAGGGGTGAGGGAGGTCCTGGACAGGAGGTCCTGGACCTCAACTCAGAATAATGAGGTCCTTGACATACATCAGAAAAAAAGAATTTTAATGTGTCAGAGAGGCACAAGAAGAGATTTGTTCACGAAAGCAAGGAGTACATATTCAAGACAGAATGTGGGTTATCTTAAGTGAGAAAGCACTTTGGGGATCTTGTGTTCTTTAAAAAAAAAAAGAAAAGCAAACTTTGTAAGGGATGGACTTGGGAAGGTATGGGGAGATGACATTTTTTATGGTGGTCTGGCTGTTCTCAGGATCTTTGACATTGTCTGCATTATCTGATCAATAGATAATGTTTGGAACGTTCCCTATGTTACAGGTTACTTAAAATATCACATCTCCCTTTGCTCCATCTGTTCTAAAAGTACATGGCACATTTTCCTGAGTGAATTTCCAGTAACACTAAGATTGTGAATAAAGATTTRGAGACTTCTCAGAAATGTGGGAGTGACAGGCCTGGGGGGGGGGGGGAATTGGCTTGGGAAGTAACAGGCCTGGGAGGGATCCTGGCCTAGGATGTGAAAGTGTGAGGAACTTTAGCACAAGGCTTTCAGATTAAAGTGACAGTCCCTTTTTGCTTTCTTTCGACTCCTTTCTATCTCTTATATCTTCTATTCTATCTCAAGTCCAACAGAGAGACTAATGGGCCTGTTTGATCTTGTCCAAGGAGCTGAGGGGAGTTCTGAAAGATGGGGCAAGGTCAGCTGAACTGAGAAGGGAGAGGATTCCAGACAGAGGCTCTGAAGCAGGAGACAGCTCGGCTCCTTTGAGGAATACAGGAGGCCAGGTGTGTGGACAGTGCCACTCAAAGTGTTGTCCACAGACCAGCAGCAGCATCCTCCCCATCACAGAGGAACTTCTCGGGAACACAAATACTCAGGCCCCTCTCCAGACCTACTGAATTGGAATCTCTGGGGTGGAGCCAGTTTCTCTCAATGGAATCTGTTTGAACAAACGCTCCGTTCCATTTTTAAGCACATAGAGTCTGAGTGCCACCTGTCTAGAGATCAGTGAGTAGGGAGAAAATGGCCCAGATGGAGTTGGAGAGAGATAAGGGCCATAGCAAGGCCCTTTGGACCATTTTAGGAACTTCTCGTTCCCCCGCTCCCTCCCCCAGAAGCAATAAAGAGACATTACAGGACTTTCACAGTAAAATGATATGTTAGATGCATATTTTAATATTAGCTACTGTGCAGAAAATGTGCTGGAGAGAGACCCAGAGCAAAAGCAGGGAAACCTTTGGTGGGATGCTGCAGTGGTTCAGGCCACAGATGCAAGGCCCTGGGACTAGAATAGAGATGCTGGAGGCAGAGAATGGAGAACAGAAAGGAGAGCTACCAGGGGGTATTATCAAGGTGGTCAGCTGTGGGCAAATGTCTTACTTTCTTTTGTGCTGCCATAACAGAATATCTGAGACTTGGTGCTTTATAAAGAACAGAGATTGTTTCTTACAGTTCTCAAGGCTGGGAAGTCCAAGGTGGAGAAACTTGCATCTGGAAAGGCCCTTCTCTCTGCATCATCCATGGCAGAAGGCAGAAGGGCCAGAGACTACATGTGAGAGAGAAAAATGGGGCTGAACTTGCTTTTATAACAAACCCACTTTGGCCTCAACAAATCCACCCCCTGTGATGATGACATCAACCTACTGATGAGAGCACTTCCCTCCTGACCTCATCATGGTTAAAAAGCTCCCACCTCCCAATACCATTGCATAGGGGATTAACTTTCTTATGCATGATCTTTTGGGGACACATCAAACCACAGCAGGGAGGAAGGAGTCAGGATGATGCCCCAATTCTAGCATGTATGCCTGTGTGGATGGAGACCATTCACTGAGACAGGGACTATAGGAGCAGGATGGGACTGGATTTGAATTTAGATAAGTTGAATTTCAAGTGGGGATGTCATATAGACAACCCTAGCTTTCCCCAAGATCTGAGGGAGCATGAACATCTCTGGCAGGAAGCCAAGTGTGATGATCCCTACTGGGGACCCGGATGAAGGACAGATGGGTGAGAACATGTCCTCACTCAAGCGACAGAGACCACAATCAGGTATTTGAAGGGACTGGACTGGGAGCATCATGATGGAGTGGGTACCTCTAAGATATGGGATGATCTCCATCTCCCTAACTCCAGAGTAGGATGGGGTTCCCCATCTAGAAGTGTCCTGCCTCATGCAAGATATTCTTGCAAGAACCTGGATGAATTTCTGTTTCCCTCTCTCCCAGATTTGGGGGCTGCTGCTGCCCCTCTCTAATGTCTATGGCATGCATCAGACTCTGAAGCCCCCATTCTGGGCTCCTGGGTTCAAAGAATCACCTCTCCATCACTGCCCATCCATCTTTTGATCTGTCTACCTAGGGCATGCTGAAAACAGTGACACCTCTGGGATTTTTGTTGTTGTTGTTGTTGTTGTTGTTGTTGTTGTTTTGGTACCAAAGATTGAACCTAGGGGGCACTCAGCCACTGAGCCACATTCCCAGCCCAATTTTGTATTTTATTTAGAGACAGGGTCTCACTGAGTTGCTTAGCACCTAATGGTTGCTGAAGCTGGTTTTGAACTTGTGATCCTCCTATCTCAGCCTCCCAATCTGCTGGGATTACAGGCGTGCCCCACTGCGCCCAGCAGAGTGACACATCTGATCCAGTGGGAAAGGGGAGGTGGACAGAGGCTGAGTCAAGGGTCAGTGGGGGGATATTCTCAGATAGTGGACAGCCCCAGGAAAGCCTGCTGTAGGGTGCTGGGGAGAACAGACAAGAGAACATACAGCTGACCACTGTCCTGCCTATTCCAGAGGAAAGCTCCCCACAAGTAGCACAAGTGGAACCCTTCCATCTGTCTTCTCATGCCTCTGCTGAGGACTTGCACATGCAGCCTCTGGGGACTGAAGATAACTTCTGGGGCCCCACAGGGCCTGTGGCTACTGAGATGGTAGACAAAGAGAAGAGCTTGTATCGGTGAGTGAGGGGTCTCTGCCTGTCTCAGGCTGGCCTTCTCTTCCCCATTCCCCCTGGGAACTCTCCCCTTACCAAATCAGCAGGAAGGGACAGGACTAAGATCCTGGCTTTGTGCTTTTTATTATGGAAAAAAAAAAGATGTTTTATTATGAAAAGTTTCAACCATACACAAAAATAGTACAAGGAACTTCCACATCCCATTACCCAATTTCAGCCGCCATTTTGCCAAATTCAATTATTCTCTTTTGTCCTTTTTCATTATTGTTACAATATTTTATTTTTTTAATATTCTTATTAGTTGCTTTTTTTTTTTTTTTTTTGGTGGTGCTGGGGATTGAACCCAGGGCCTTGTGCATGCAAAGCAATCTTATTAGTTGTTGATGAACCTTTATTTATTTATTTCTATCTGGTGCTAAGAATCGAACCCAGGGCCTCACACATGCTAGGCAAGCAATCTACCTACCACTGAGCTACAACCACAGCCCCCTGTTACAATATTTTAAATTCAAGACACTGGGTTATTTTATCCTTAAGTATTTCATTTGGCATACCCAGAAAATAAAAATACCTTTTCTTCTATAACCACCATGCCATTATGACATCTAACAAAGCTGACATGAGTTTATATCATCTAACACCCAGACTGTATTCTAATTGGCTCCATTATCTAAAATGCATGCTTGCCAGTGATCCAAACAAGATCTGCTCGTTATATTTGGTTATGTCCCTTAACTCTCTTTTAATCTATGTGCTTCCATTGTATTAATAGCTATTCTATGTGATAATTACCTACTGGTAGGGGGGAACCCTAAGATGAATATGGTAACCCTGCTCTCTCCGAGCATTTGTAGTCTCATGAGTCATAAATGCCTATAATCAAAATCATGATCTCTTATATAACACATTACCACTCACCAAACACTGTCAAATCACTCTCTCCAATGGGAGATAGTGTCACTCCCAACTCGCATTCACAGAATGTGGCATCTGTCTACCCGACCATGTGCCACCTGGAGAACCAAGAGAAAACCACTATTTTTAGCTCCAAGGGTTACAGTTAATATCAGTATGTAGATTGCTATTAACTACTGGTGGGTAGGTCCCTTAATAATAAGAACTCTTGCTCATTTCATCATGGTTGTCATGGTAATAGAAATAGCTAAGGGCTCCCAGGCCTCTAGGCTGACGTATATTAGATGACTCACCACTCACAGCCCTAGGAGATGGGTCTTGCTATTATTCCTATTTACAGTCTGAGGTTATAGCTGCTCCGCTCTGTCCACAAGCCCCTGCCCCAGTAGGTGCTTGAGGAGTTTGTGTCATTTAATATCATCTCCCTCTTCTTCCTAGAGTTCATTTCCCCATGGCTGGCTCCTACTGCTGGTCCAACACGGGTCTCACCTTTGTGGTAAGAAGGGCGGTGACCATCGAGATTGAGTTCTGTGCATGGGACCAGTTCCTGGGCAACACTATCCCACCGCAGAGCTGGATGGTGGCAGGGCCTCTGTTTGACATCAAAGCTGAACAGGGAGCTGTGGCCGCTGTGTACCTGCCTCACTTTGTGGCCCTCCAAGGTAAATGAGGGCAGGTTAAGGAGGAGGGTGGTAACAATGGGATTGAGAATATAGAATCATGGATGATGAGAAAGGAGCTTGTGTCTTCCTAACTAAGGCAGAGAGTAAGGTTACAGACGCAGAGACTGAGGTTTTCCCTCATTCCATTCTTAAAATATATATATATTTTTTTAAGTTTATGTCTCTCAGCCTTATAATTATTATTTTTTAAGAATTGGTTTTTTTATTTTTTTCCAGTTGTAGTTGGACACATACCTTTATTTTATTTTATTTTTATGTGGTGCCTATCAACCCTCAATCACAATATTAACTAGCATATTAATGTTAAGTGTTCTTGACTCCTCGAACACCTACTGGATGCAGCCCTAGGGCTTGTGGACAGAGATTGTACCACTCAGGGTTCCAGCAAGAGACAGATGAGATGCTCAGTTGAGATTTTCAAGGAGATTTTTAAAGACACAATTATGTCAAAGTAAGGCAAAATGAACTAACAGGGAATATTTAGTAGCCAGGGCCTATCAACAATGGTAAGCCATTACAACCCTGTAGGCAGAGAGTAGACAGAGTTGCCCAGTTCCACTGGAGAGCTGGAGTCATGGAAGAGGGACTTCCTAATAGAAGACAGTAGTTATAAAGTCTTCTGTCCTCAGTCACCTCCAAAGACTTCCTACAAATAAAGTGCCAAATACTATAGCCTCATGGTAAAAAAAAAAATGTCACTATCATTAACAACCACCACAAGTAAGAGCCAGAGGAACCCCCAGGTACCAGATAAGCCCTTTAAATGCTTCAGTTACTGAAATTATCAGAAATAGAACAGAGAAAAAGTGTATATAACATGCTCCAAGAGATAAGATTACGGAGGTGCATGCCTGTAATCTCAGCAGCTCAGGAGGCTGAGAAGGAGGATTACGAGTTCAAAGCCACCCTCAGCAACTTAACAAAGCCATGTCTCAAAAAATAAAAATGCTAGAGATGCGCCTCAGTGGTAAAGCACCCCTGGRTTCCATCCCTTGTACCAACAAAATAAATAAATGAAATAAACAGGGCACACAGACCCCTGTTCTCCACATGGCCTGCCCTCTGGCAAGGCGAATTCCCTCATTTTACTCAGTCCTTTTATCCACCCATCCAAGGAGCTCACCCAGATTATATTGCTGGGACCCATATTGGCTCTCTGGGACCAATACCTTCTGATTGTACAGCAGTAGAGAGCCCCAGATCTACTCAGGTTCAGCAAAATGCTTCTTCAAAAGATCTTACTACTTTTTCCTTCCAAGACCCCAAGGGTTCCCAGGAGGACTGAGCCAAGTTGTTTGAGGAAAGAACCACAAGAGTCGAGTGATGATATAGTTGGTCAAGTTGCATTTCCATGATAATAAGGAAGCCCCTGCAACCCTAAGACACAAACTCACAATCTTCATAACCACAATAGGAGGTGGGCCATTCTTGGTTGCACTTTTCAGATGACATATGGGGATGCTTTGTAGTTTGCTCTGAGCTGCATTGCTAGGAGTCAAGTCAGGCAATCCTTATCATTTAACCGCTCTGATGGACAGTCTTCATGTATGAATCCCATTGTCCCTCTTTGAGCAGAAAAGTCAACAGCTCACCTGAGTCTGGAAGGTGTGGACAACTCTCAGCAAAGGACAGGGCCAGGGTGGCATCATGTCACAGGCCCAAGGGCAGGTCCCAAAGAAGTAAGATCCACCTAGAGAATGGGAGCAGCAGTGACCAAGACAATGGCTGGGCATGAGGCTGGGGAAAAGGAGGCTGCCATGGTGCTTCGCCTGACAGAGCACTTGTGATCCTTTAGACAGTGATCTAGTCACTGTCTATCTTCCTTGTTGGACCACAAGCTCCAGCACTGCAGTGTTTATGTGTCCCAGTTCCCAACTACATGCATGGAGCATCCATAAGTAAATAGAAGGCCTGGGCCCCAGGCCTTGCCACAGAAACACTCTTACCTCTGATGGCTTATTCTGAATATGTCTAATGAGACCAGCCAAAGGCAGCTCCAGACTGAAGGTCTTGGTCTTCCTGCCAATGATACTTGCCCCAGTCATCCCTCAAGCTTCTTCCCCTCCAAACCACAATCTTCTCCCTCCAGTCTATCAGACAAATACACTGTTGTCAGGAAGTTGGGAGAAGGTAATTCTGCTATAGTCTGTGGAAGGGACAAAATATGTGTTAAAGAGAATTGACCAAATCATCTTAGATGGCCCAGGACCTTCTTGATCTTAGCACTGAAAGTTATGCATTCCAGAAAACTTCTCAGGATATCGTAGCAAGAAAGTAAGCTGGAAAGTCAGAGCACCTTCCAGAATTCAGTCAAAATTAGAGCATCTGTAAGTGCCACAGACTATGGTCAGAATGTCAGAATTTGTCACTAGGGCTGTGGCTGGCTGTGGGACCTTGGGAAAAGGGCTTCCTTCCCAGGATTACAGACATTTTGGTACTGTGGAGGTCCAGGTGAGCCCATTCACCTAGTGTCACCGATGACAGTGCCAAGCAAGCAGTACCACCCCTTAGAAAAGCAATTTGGGAGACCGGGGAAGGCCATATGTTTTCATATCCTTTTCTCATCCTTTGGTACTGATTGATTCCAAGTCAATTACCCAAAGGAAATAGAAAAGCTCTCTGCAGAAATGTGTGCACTGCAGTACTATTCATCATGGTGAAAACTTGGAAGCAAACACTGCAACCAGATGCAGATGGAGAATTACAGAGAGAGGCATCCACTGGCAGGGATCCCATGCTGTGGTTATGAGAAAGATCCACAGATGCTTGCAACAATTTAAACCAGAGTGAGAAAAAGCAGGAGAAAAAGCTACCTGGACTAGGATGGCTATGTGGAAAAAGTGTTGCTGCAAGGAACAGCTGTAACAGAAAAGGGAACAATGATCATAATAACTGTGTTGCTTGATTGCTGAAATTCGTAGGTGAATTCTTGAATTTTTTAAGAGGTCCACCACTATGACATTATTTTTCATCCAAAAATGCAATTAATAAGTGCATGGTCCTAAGTAATGGTCCTCATGGCCCTTTCCAGAATTAATATCACTCGGTAATGTTCTGATTGTTGCCACACTAAGGACCTTGTCCAGCTAGATGGATGGCTTGCTGCCCAGATGCCACCTGCATTGCAGTGGTTGCTGAACAACATAGGGATGGAGCCCGAACTCTTGATCTCTAAGCCAGTGTCTCTCCCATGCCCAGCCTTCATCACTTGAGCTGTCTCTTATGGCTTCAACATCCCTACCTGGGAAAGTGGTCAGAGGTTACAATCAAAGAAACAAATTCTGATTTGTTTAGGAAGTAAAGGAATATATTAGAATATTCTTGAGTAGCCATATTCTTAACAAAATGTTATGCGACAAGTCTAAGAGGTGGGAAAAGTCAGTGAACCAATGATGGTAAGAAACCAAGGACATAGCCAAGGTCACACCAAGAAAATATAAAGCAATATCTACTGCAGTCACAGTCCCTGTGGGATCCTCCTGCCATGGGACCATTGGATTCTTGATCCCACTGCAACTGCCAAAATTATTTCCAGCCATCTCTTCATCTGAAATTCACCCCTCTAGACTCTAGGTCCTGATTAGGATCACCCTTTTAAGTCTTGGTCACATACTTGTGTCATAGCTGCCAAGGAGTAGCTGCTTGCTTCCTGGGTGGGAGTCTCAGTTTATCTCCTGCCAACACCCACCCAACAGTAAAGAAAGAGGTTCTTCCCAAAATAGTAGGGTTTTGTTGTTGTTGTTGTTGTTGTTGTTGTTGTTGTTGTGTGTGTGTGTGTGTCTTTGTGGGGAGAGGTAACCAGGGATTGAACTCAGGGACCCTCAACCACAGAGCCACATCCCCAGCCCTATTTTGTATTTTTATTTAGAGACAGGGTCTGAGTTGCTTAGCACCTTGCCATTTCTGAGGCTGGCTTTAAACTCATGATCCTTTGTCTCTGCCTTCTGAGCCCCTGGGATTACAGGCATGCACTTCTGCACCCAGCCCCAAAATAATAGTCTGAATGATAGCCAAACAGATAAACAAGGTAGGCTGCCCTTGGTCACTCCATTTCCCACCACCACATCCTCCTTTTTGCTCTCTACTGCCTAGAGTCAAACCTGCCAGCATCACTCCACAGAAGAGTGATATATTATGTAAATTTCTTCTTTGAAATACGCACTTAAGTTGTGGGTTAATTCATTACAGGTTAAACTCAAGTCAGGAATTAAATGGCAAACAGCTGTTTGTATGGAACAGATCACTTCCATCTTATTTGAAATGCCTGTTGTCTTCTGAGTCGTAGGCTGTTAGGAGTGGTTCGAGGTCGTCATCATCATCATCATCATCATCAACAACAAAAACACTCAACATTCAGAGTTACAGAATCCACACCAGCACAGGAAACCATAGTTTCAGTATCCGTTCCATCTCCAGGGACAGGAGCTGGACCTGTGTCTGAGTTTTAGAAGCTCAGCAGTTGGGGTTCCTGTGGTACTCTCACTCTAGAGACAGTATTGCCCATGGCCACTGAAGCCACCTCCCCCACTGCCCAGACATGCTCCCTCTTCCCTTTTCTGGGTGTCTTGGTCCATTTGGGCTGCTCTAGTAAAATATTATACACTCAATAGTGTATAAAAAACAAATTTGTTTCTCACAGATCTGGAGGCTAAGAAGTCCAAGATCAAGGTGCACTTAGATTCAGTGACTAGCAAGGGCCCTCTTCTTCATTGGATAGCATCTTCTAGTTGTGTCTTCCCAGGATAGAGGGGTCCCTGGGGTCTTGCTAATTCTATTCATGAAGATTCTACTTTCGTGACCTCCTCACCTCCCAAATACTTCTGGTGCCATCACCTTGGGGGTTAGGATCTAAACGTGTGACTTTTGGAGGACCCAAACATTCAGACCATAGCTTTAGGTTTTCCCAAGGATGATCTTTGAGCCAAAACCCCGATATCCTTCTACCCAGCCAAGCTTGACCTTGTGAGGACACTGAATCCACACCTCTCAAATCCGTTCTTTGACAGAGGGGCCTGTGGACATCTCCCTGTTCCATGTGGCCCACTTTAAAGAGGAAGGGATGCTCCTGGAGAAGCCAAGCAGGGTGGAGCCACACTATGCAGTCCTGGAGGACCCCAGCTTCTCCCCGATGGGAATCTTGCTGAGAATGATCCCCACCGCCCTGTGCTTCATCCCCATCACCTCCACCACACTGCTGTACCATCAACTCCATCCCAAGGAGATCACCTCCTTCCACCTCTACCTGATCCCTAGTGACTGCTCCATTCAGAAGGTGAGGCTAAGAACCAAAAAGATAGGGCCAGGGTGGGCTGACCTTGACCATAAGATGCAGCCAGAGAGACTCCTAGAGGAATCCTCAACTGGGAATAAGGATGGGACTCTTGAAGGAACCTTGATGGGGAATAATCTTACCCTCTACTCAGGGTGGACTAGTCTTCTGACACTCAAGTCCCCCCAAACTGTGTTCACTGCTCCACTACTCACCTCTAGATAACCTTTTGCAACCTGTTTCTAAGAGTCAAAAGGATAGCCAAACTGTCTTCTTTCTCTATTCTCCCTTCTTCTCTCACAATGATCTCTTTTCTACCCTGAACAGAGCAGAGGCCAAGCTTGGGGCTATCTACGTGACAGTACTCTACAGAAGAGGGAGGCAGAGGTGGTGTGGTCCCCAACACAAACCCACTGACATACCCACACACCATTCTCACCGTATTCAGACCAGATTCTGTAGGGCAGATCTCCCTTACCCAATTTTCTGTATATCCCTCAGGCCATAGATGATGAAGAAAAGAAGTTCCAATTTGTGCGAATACATAAGCCACCCCCAGTGACCCCCCTTTACCTGGGATCCCGCTATACTGTGTCTGCTTCAAGGAAGCTGGAAATCATCCCCAAGGTGAGCAATCTGGATGTTTGCCCCTCAGTGAGTCAGAAGTCATGTTTAGGAGAGTGTATRGGGGCAGGTCTCAGGGTTCTCCCAGGGACTAGGTAAATTGAGATTGGGCAGAAAACAAGTGGGATTCAGGGTGAATAAGAATGCTTCAAAGATTGAAAGAAAGGAAATTAAGGGAGGAAGGATCACATTCAGGATGGGGAGGATGATGGGGTTCAACTTGAGGGCACTGGAAAGTATTTGGACTACAGGGTATCAATGCCTTCCGGCCAAAATGCACCAGGAACACACCTGTAATCAAACACTCTGGGTTTATTACTTATTGCAGCGGGAGAATACACACCATGGGAAATCATAGGGCAGTTCAGTAAAAGAATGTTGAAAAGAAACTACCATATGGGCTGGGGTTGTGGCTCAGTGGTAGAGTGCTTGCCTGGCATGTGTGAGGTACTGGGTTCAATCCTCAGCACCACATATAAATAAATAAAATAAAAGGTCCATTGACAACTTTTAAAAAAAGAAAAGAAAGAAAGAAACTAACATAGCATCTGGGCCTCAGTTGAATAATTTGAGGAAATTTCTAAGGAAACAGATTTACTTTAGATTGGATATTGTCAGGAAGCAGGAGAATTCTATGATTGAGCATCTCAATAAATCTTTTCTCTAGGAGGGCAATCTAAAGAAAGCAGTTATATCCAGGCATAGTGGTACATGCTTATAATCCAGGAGGATTGCAAGTTCACAATAAAATGGTTTTTAAAAAGGGCTGGGGGTGTAGATCATTGATAGAGTGCCCCTGGGTTTAATCCCCAGTACTGAAGGAAGGAAGGAAGGAAGGAAGGAAGGAAGGAAGGAAGGAAGGAAGGAAGGAAGGAAGGAAGGACAAAGCAAGAGAAGGAGACACACAAAGGGTGTTTCATGGAACATTCTATCCCAAACAGGGCAAAGGGGTAGTATCACAAAGGAATAGATCAGTGTAAGTCAACCCCATGGGTGACACCCCCACACCCTCAACTTCCTGAACCGGGACAACGCCCAAGTCACTATGAAATGTAGTGATCCATCAGAGCCTCTTGCTTCAGGAAGGAAGGCATGGGTCATTCGGAGTGATTCCCCACCGAGAATGATTGCAGTAAAAGAGATAATCAGTATCCTTAATGGGGTTGGGCCGGGCCAGGAAGGTATCAGGTAAGGAAAGACCTCACTTGCAGGATGAACAGTGGCTTCTCACATGGCAACTCTTTGTCTCCTCAGGAATTGGAGCTCTGCTATCGGAGCCCCAGAGAACCTCAGCTCTTCTCTGAGTTCTACATTGGCCACTTGGGATCAGGGATCAGGCTGCAAATCAAAAACAAGAAAGGTGGAACTGTAGTTTGGAAGGCCCAGCTGAAACCAGGTAAAACCAGGACAAGTCTAGACAGCTCAGAAGTGGGGGAAAGAAGATCAGTGTTGGGGGGAAAGGGGGAGTTCATAATTCATTAAGGAGAATAGCCCAGAGAAGTTACATAACTTCTCTTTTCCAAGGATTCTCCATAATGCTTTCCATATTGGTTGCAACAATTTGCAGTCCCATCAGCAATGTATGAGTGTGCCTTTCCCCCACATCCTCACCAACACTTACTGTAGTTTGTATTCTTGATAACTGCTATTCTGATTGGTGTGAAATGAAATCTTTGAGTAGTTTTGATTTTTATTTCTCTAATTACTAGAGATGTTAAACATTTTTTCATGTATTTGTTGATCAATTGTATATCTTCTTCTGAGAAATGTCTTTTCAGCTCCTTAGCTCATTTATTGATTGGTTGTTTTGGAGGGATTTTTTTTGAGTTATTTATATATCCTGGAGATTAGTGAAGCCCCATTTTCTCTCCAGTGTTGTGCCCGCCGAGAACTAAAAAATAAATATTAAAAATTCTCTCTCTCTCTCTCTCTGTCTCTCTCTCTCTCTCTCTCTCTCTCCTCTCTCTCTTTAAAAAAAAAAAAAAGAAAGAAAACTTATAGATTCTTAGCCCAGCACCAACGTCCCCCCAAACCAAAATCCCATAATCAGTACTTTTAGGGACAACCAGCCCTTGTCAGCCGTCAAACAATGGTGATGGCACCACCTGGACTGACACACAGGCTCCACAGCATGGTGGAAAGGGGATGGGCTGGACTCAGCCTTGGCTTGGGTACAACCACAGTGGGAGAAACAACCAGCCCCAGCCTCAGACCTGGTTTGAATCCCACCCCAGCATTTACTTGCTGGATAACCTTGGGAAATTACTGAACTTGTTTGAGTCTGGGGTTCTTCATCTGTAAAATGAGGATCAAAATGACCAACTGGTAGGATTGTTGGAAAGACTAAATAAAATGATGTCTGTCCATGCCTCAAGCAGTGATCCTTAATAAATAGTAGCAATATTCTTCTTCTTACTCATGTTAAGCCAACCTCTTTCTCCTATCTTACTTCCGTCCCTTGAAGCTCACAGAAGTCTACCTCCCTCCCCAGGGAAATGTCTTCAGATAGTGGAAGACTGAATTCACGGCCTCCTTATGTCTACCCTTATGCAAGCTAAACATCTCCAGTTCCCTCTATCATTCTTCTTATACTTTGGTTTTTAATCCTGGATCTCCCTGTCACCTTTCTCAATAGATGCTCCAGTTTGTGCATGAGTCAGGATTGACTCCAAGATTTCTGAGTCAAAATTGAGTAGGAGGAACACCATCCCCTAAAACCCACCGCAGCATACCAATGGACCCAGTGCCCCCAGTACCACAGCCTGGGTCCTTGTGCTCACTTCCCTACCCTTTGGGTCCTCTGAATTTAGGGTCTGCTCAAACTCTCAGACCTCATTCACATAAATTGCTCAGAACTACCCCTTCCCCTCTATGGAATTAATTATTTAAGCCACTTCATTTGCTGCTGTTTTGCTGCTGCCTCTGCTGCTGACTTTCCTATTAAAATTCACTCGTTATTCCCATGTGCAAAGGTTTTGCTTGTTCTTGATTCTGACATCCTAATTCAGAACACACATACTCGGTCTGTGTGCATGGAAGATCAAACAAGTACAAAGAGAGTGTTTTTGCTCAGAATAAGATGTCAAATAGTTTAAGCTATCTGGCAAGGGACTTGGCTAGTTCTCCATCACAGATTCAGTGCCAGCCAAGACAAGATAAAACCTTGAGTCTGAGATATTGAGGGAGAAATTGCTATTGCTCATTCAGATAATTTCTCTCTTTATTAGTCCATGATTATCCCCCTCTGAGTCAGTTTCCCTATCTGCCTAAGGAAGGGATTCATCTAAATAATCCCTAAAAGCCCTCCAGGATTTATTCCAGATTCTACCCCAATTGGTCTGAAGCTTGTTCTCAGAATCAAAGAATCTCAGAAGTGGGTGGGAGTCTTAAGGTGTGTCATACATATTTATAACCATTACGAATGCTTCTACGTCTCTCTTTTCCTCCAGGAGACCTCAGACCTGCAGCCACTCCGATCCCTCCAGTCACCAAAGGTCAGTAACAGCTGTCAGAGAACAAAGAAGCCAGGTATAGTCCTAGGGTGTACTGTCTTGTCTTGGAGGGAAGGGACCAGAGAAAGGAGGGGAACTTCTCATTGCAAGCCTCACCAGGGATCTGATTGAAGAGTGGTGCATGCCCAGGGCAGAGTTCCTGCCCATCTGCCTTGCTCCTRCCCATGGAGGCCCTCGTACCCCCTCTGTCACAATGACCCATCATGAATCCTTCCTCCCCACCCCATCAGAATGCCAGGCTAGATGCTGTCATGAGGAAGGGCTGAGGTGCCTTGCTGGTGTCCAATGCCTTTCCAGAGGGAATATGAAGCCAGAGATGCAGATGAGATAAGTGACAAGAACCAGAACTGTGGGATCAGGGGTAGAGCTTATGGTGGGAGCCTTTCCTTGCTCATTGCCAGCCTCACCTTTACTCCCCAGATGCCTTGGGCTCACTGCACTTTGTGGACCGGCATCGGGAACAGCTGGTGGCCCGAGTGACATCTGTAGACCCTGTCTTGGACAAGCTGCATGGACAGGTGCTGAGCGAAGAACAGTATGAGAAGGTACGGGCAGAGACCACCAAGCCGGGCCAGATGCGCAAGCTCTTTAGCTTCAGCCGGTCCTGGGATTGGGCCTGCAAAGACCAGCTCTACCGAGCCTTGAAGGAGATTCATCCTCATCTGATTGTGGAACTCTGGGAGAAGTGGGGGGGAGGCTTAGGGAGTCTCTGACAAGCTCAACAACTGAAGTCTTGAGAGTTCRCAATTGAGTCCTGGCTCTGCCTGATCCTTCTTTTGGTCTCAGTTTCTTCATCATTAATAAGTTATCGTTTGAGTTGCCATCCAGCTATAAAGGGATGGATGATGCCCCCTGATGGACATTCCTGCCCTGAGATGCCTCACAGGCCCCCGGACTACCTCCTTTGACTTTCACAGCCTACTGTCCAGGTGGGATAACAGCATCTCAGGGAATGTTCCTCTGAAGCTGGCGAGATTCCTGCAGATCTTGAAGTGCTTGGTCTTGTGGCCCCAGCACCCAAGCCCAGAGCACTCCTTGTCCCATCCAGATGCACACAGGAGTAGGGAGGYCATGGGGCTGTTGGCCTCTGACTTGAGACAATGGAAAAATGGACATGTGTACTTGGAGAGTGTGAATGACCTGTGAATAGGAAAGGGAAAGATTTATTTCTCAGTTATTCTATCCAGCCAAACTCAGAGCTGGAGTTTCACCTAAAGTAATGACAGGGGAATTGCTGCCAGGGACCATCCCAAATCATCTCAAGATAGAGCCGCTTGGGGTTCCAAAGGAAAAAAAAAAGCACTAAACGCCAGGGTGATCTTATCTAAAGCATTTATTATAGAGGGTATCAGCATCTTCTAGATGAATATCAAGAAAGGACATGTTCTAGGCRGGCAGATCCATGAAAGCGGGTTGGATCATAGAGTTCATGGAAATTCAGGAGCAGGGATAGTTTCTACGTGATGGCTCTCTCATTGTTTAATCTAGACAACTTTATCAGTACCTAGGAATGGCCCAAGGCCACAGCTTGGGTTCCATCCTTCAGAGGAAAACATGCAGCTGGCCAGGTAACAGAGCAGTCAAGGTTATCTGTGTGACTTAGAAAAATAAAGAAAGGGGGGCAAGACTGTGGGCATCTCCCATTGTCATGTTGGACTTGGCTTTGATCTTGGTTCGAATGTTGTTTCTGAAGTCTAGATGTATTCCTAGAGCCAGGAAAGATAAAGAAGGCGGCCTGGGGCAGGGTGGAGTCTAGGTTTTAGCTGAGAGATGTCCTCCTGTAGAAAGTGATGCCATGCCCTTCCACTGGGTTTAGGTACCACACTGCCCTGTGATCCTGAAGCACCCTGTTTCCTTCTTGCCCATCAGACATGGCATCATCCCTGCTGCTTCATTGCTCATCTCCTTCCATTAAACAGTAAGCTTCCTGAGGGAAGGAGCCATGTCTAATGTGCTCATCAATTCCTTCCCGGTGCCTAGTATACTGCCTGGCACATGGGGAACTTATTAATAGGTAAATGGTAAAGGAACTTTCTCTAGATATCTCCCTTAGTTCCTTCCCTGACCATCACATTATCCATGTGATGCCAGGGTTCACCTTACTCATCATCTCCAAGTTAATAGACCACCCATGACTCCAGTGAATGGTCATCTTAGAATTGAATCCACTGGAATATTACTCAGCCATAAAGAAGAATGAAATTATGGCATTTGCCAGTAAATGAATGGAACGGGAGATTATCATGATAAGTGAAATAAGACAATCCCAAAAAAATCAAAGGAGTAGAGGTTCACTGGTTTGGAATGTGGGGCGGTGCGGGGTGGGGGAATAGAATGGAGGGGTAGTGGGAATGGGAAATACAGTAGAATGGAAGAATGAATCAGACCCAACTTTCCTATGTTCATATATGAGTACATGACCAGTGAAATTCCACATCATGTGCAACCACAAGAATGGGAAGTATACTCCATGTATTTGATATGTCAAAATATATTCTACCGAGAGACTCGTGTGTAACTAAAAAGGACAAATTAAAAAATTTGAAAAATAATAAAGTTCATGAAGCAAGGGGGAAAAAAAGAATTGAACCCACTGGTATTATGACATTTATACAAATGTTGCCTTTGACTCATGAGAGCAAGACTTCACTCGCATTACCCCTGCCCAAGATCCGGAACCACAAGTTGATCTTATCGCCAACACACTTGATTCCCCATCCTGTGCCCTTCCCAACCACTGCACAGTTGGGGGGGTGGGTCCCTCTGGGTGGAGGGATCTCTTCCATGGTGTCCCTGACTTGAGGTTGTTCTAAGAGTGTCAGGAGATAATACATGTAGGTGCTCAGATCAGTGTCAAGCATGTAGTTTGTAAAGTAGTCCCCCCTTTTCTGCAGGGCATACATTACAAGACCCCCAAGTGGAAGCCTGAATCTGTGGATAGTACTGAAGCTTATAATTATACTTTTCCTATAACTACCTACCTATAAATACAGTTAATTTATAAATTAGGTACAATGAGAGATTAACAATAGCTGGGTACAGTGGTGCACACCTGTAATCCTAGTGGCTCAGGAGGCTGAGTCAGGAGGATCCCAAGTTCAAAACCAGCCTCCATAATTTACTGAGGCCCTAAACAACTTAGCAAGACCCTGTCTCAAAATGAAAACTAAAAAGAACTAAGGATATTGTTCAGTGGTTAAGCCTCCTAAATTCAATCCCTAGCACAAAGCAGGCAGGAGGAACAACAATGATCAATAATAAAATAAAATAAAATATACGTGTGTGTAGATAGTTAAGTGAATGTGTCCCTCGTTCTCAAAATATCTTATTGTATTTGGCCTTTTTCTTAAAGGAAGCTCTTTGTGGCTTCTCTTGGGCATATCTGAATTCTTAGCATCACTACTCTTGCACATTGGAGCCATTAAGGAAAAGGAGTTACTTGAACCCAAGAACTATGACACTATGACAGTGGGTCTGATAACCCAGACAGCTACTGAGTGACTAACAGGCAACAGCATATGCAGCATCATGTGTGCACACAAAACAGGGATGATTCACTTCCCAGACTGTACAGAGCAGGACGGCGAGAGATTGCATCATGCTACTCAGAATGACACACAATTTAAAACTAGGAATTGTTTATTTATGGAATTTTCCACTTAATATTCTTGGGATACATTTGACCTTGGGTAACAAACTGCACAAATTGAAACCATGTTGGGGTGGCTGGGAGGGACTACAGCAGCAATAAAGGGTAGGTTCAATCTCTTGGCTTCCCTGCTCACTGGATGGGTGAGAGAGGTCAGCATAGCTCAACCACCCACAAGTATTCCTACAGAGAAATTAATAAGGTTAGTGCATAAGCATAAAACAAATTGGAAAGGGAGGGGTTCACACATGTGACATTAGTCCCACCTGCCTCACAAGCATGAGCCAGAGAGATGCCACTTTCTGGACCCACTGATCTTCATGCTCAGGCCACACTGTTAACAAGTTCCATAAATTTGGTTGATTCTATCAGGATCCTCCTAAAGGGATGAGAATGTCCCCGAATTTTTGTATGCCAGCTCTTAGATGTGCCCCATAATGGAAAAGGAGTCTCATACTTTGAAAAGGATGTTTTTACTTAAGATCCAGATAACTGTGGCTACTTTCTGCTGCTAACTGTATAAGACCCTAAGGCCTCTCAGGACCCTATAGCCAAGACTCTGTCCACTTCCAAAGACAAGAAAGCTATACATAACGAACTTGCTGCTTTAGATGGATTCCAGATCAGTTCCCTGTGTCCACACAGCGTTTTGTGTTTTCTGCTAAATGTGGCAGATTCAAAACTTGCATCTGAATTTGATTCCTCAGCTATCTTAAGGAAAGGAGGCCATATTTGTCTTAGACTTTGTTTCTTCTCTGCATGACTGAAGGCCTCAAAGAAGTCTCTCAGAAGCATAGAGAGATCAAACTATTTGCTTCTTTTGCCTTGCACTGCACATCACGGTTCTAATCTAGAGGAAGCTCTGAGCCACACCATCAGGAAGCTGCAGGTGGAGACTATTAGCTCAGGAGCTGTCCAAGGGGCTGTCCTTCAAGTTGTAGCTCCCAGCTGGAGGTGCCACAGTTGTTGGGGCTGCAACACCAAGAGTCATTGAAGGCAGCCTCCAACTTCCTGCTGTGCCACCTCTGAGTGTCTGACTTGCAGGGAGACCCAAGTGTCTCTTGCTGCCTTGCTGAAGGTAGAAGGGCATTTTCAATAGCTTTGGGATATGTTCAAAGAGCAAGAAAGCACAGGTATCTTTGAAGTTCAACCGGATGTGTGAATACTGAAGTCTCTTAGCATGGCCCCCAACCCTGCCCTGTTTGAAAAGTGTTATGTGCAGGAGCTCATCTAATTCTAATGACAACCCTGTATCTCTCAGGATTCTCCAGAGAAACAGTATCAATATGATGTGCAGAGAGAGAGAGAGAGAGAGAGAGAGAGAGAGAGAGATTTTAAGGAATTGGCTCACATTATTATGGAGGCTGGCAACTCCAAATTTTTCAGGGTAGGCTAGTGTGGGGAGCCTCTCTGAATGACCCATGCCTTCCATCTTGAAGCAAGAGGCTCTGACCAATCGATGGATCACTACATTTCATAGTGACTTGGGCATTGTCCCGGCTCAGGAAGTCGAGGGCGTGTCTTCAGATGTAGGTGTCACCCTTTGGGTTGAATTACACTCACCTGTCCCTTGTAACCCTGCAGCCAGCCTTCCTCTGTTATTCCCAGGAAATGGTCCCTGCTAACATCTCCTCCATGACCTGTCTGCTAGGGCTAGGGAGAAAAGGTCAGTTACAAACATGGCTATTTCTGCTACCATTTAGCGTGCTGGGGAATGGGGCAATCGGGACATGTCCATTATATTCTGCCACTTGACTGCCCCTCATATGAGGACACACACACTCATCAGAATTTACAAACATGGCATACACCACCCACACAGCCAAGCTTTCCTTCATCCACACTATTTCAAAGATGCCCTGGCCAATTTAATCCCCTTTTGTTATACAAAATAGCAAATAGTAACTGCCCTCTTCAATGAAGACATCCTCTAAAAGTCCATGTTTCTGCAAGCAGGGGTGTAATGGTGGAGACCTGACAGTTCCTCTGGAGGGACTGGGGGTTCTATATTAGTTTTCCAGGGGAGTGGTTAACCTCAAGGCGGGAGTACTAGGATCACCCCAA